TTCTTTATAGTCGTTTTTGTTTCCTTAATCCTCTGTTTATGTAGGATTATTGATGGGTCCTTTGGTAATTGATTTTTTGTTCTTTAATTCTGTGAAAGTACCTGTCAAAATTCGATCTTTTTTGGTGATTTTTATTTACTTCTGTTTCTCTGCAGGCTGCAGAAGGAGCTGATGGCTCTCATGGTATGTGTGCTTATCAGATGATCAGTCTCTCTCTCTCTCTCTCTCTCTCTCTCTCTCTCTCTCTTCTCCGTGTGTGTGTGTGTGTGAAAAACTAGAAATAATTTTTTTATACCCAAATCAATTGAATTATGGTTTTTACTGTAATATTGTTCTGTCTTTGCATTGCACTCGTGGGAACTAGAAAAATACAAAAACTGCACCATTTATCTGATTTACTCATTCCATTATGATATTGTTCTATTCTAGTTATGACGATTTGTTTTGTCGTGGAAATTCTGTTCCTGCAGTGTTTTAACTTTTACATGTTAAAGTATATATGTACTTGTTCATCTCAAAATTTAGGTGTTTTACTGGAGATAGTGAAGGAGGAAGTTATCTAAAAATGAATGAATTCCACAAATTTCTTATGCAGCTTGCAAAAACTACTCGGGTAGAGTTTTTTCGAATTTGCACTCAACTTAATAAATCGAAGTCTGATTCCAGAGGAGATGCAGATGATTCTTATTGCTACTCTGTGTGTGTGTGTGTGTGTGTGTGTTTTACTCATTGCCAGCTATTTAATTGCTAATAGTAAGTAATTTCATATAGATGACGGGAGGAGATCTTGGAGTTTCTGCTTTTCCTGAAGGGGATAGCATATTTAATTGGATTGGAACTATTGAAGGCGGAAAAGGAACTATGTATGAGGGCCTATCTTACAAGCTCTCTTTACGTTTTCCGTTCGATTATCCTTTCAAGCCACCTCAAGTTAAGTTTGAGACAATGTGCTTTCATCCGAATGTGGACCAGTGTGGAAATATTTGTTTAGACATCCTTCAGGTAGTTAACCATAATTAATTCACAATTAGATTTCTTTTTTTTTTTTTTTNATTTTTTTTTTTTTTTTTTTTTTCTGAAAATTTTCTGTTGTGATTTGGAAGATAAATGTGTATTTCTGTTTTTTCAAAGGACAAATGGTCCTCGGCTTATGATTGCAGAACCATTCTTTTGTCTATACAGAGTCTTTTAGGAGGTCAGACATGAATTAATATATTTCTTGTTCTCATCTTTTTGAGTTAGATAGATAATTTATGTTATGTATGTTTTGCTTTATTTATTGGTCTTATGTGCAGAACCTAATACTGATAGCCCTCTCAACAGCTCTGCTGCTTCACTTTGGAGGAATCAGGAAGGTTTGTAAAAATCCCAACTTTATTTTTTTTTCACTATTTTCATTTGAAACGAGGAACAAAAGAAAACCGAAAGGAAAGAGAAAAAGCTTCCCTGAAGTTCCGTGTTTTCTAATGTGAATGAACAGCACATGTTTCACATGTGATAAAGTCAAGTGTGCTTGAACATAGAAAATGAATAGAAAATGTAAAGTCAAGTTGACTGCGTGTAAATTGTTGATTTGAAGAGTACAAGAAAACGGTTCGCAAGCATTACATGGCTGGAGAATCCTTTGAGATCTGATACCCGTGGCTCGATTGCAATGTTTTTACAGTTTTAGACGAGCAAATTTCGCAGCACAAGTTTGAACTTGGTGAACAGAAGAAACATCTTTACGGAAAGTCAGACGGTTTATCACTATTTTTTTTTTTTCATACGAAAATAAGAATGTAGATTTAGTCATTCCCACATTTGGTTTTTCCTATGTTTTAATCCCCAGATTTTTCTTTTGTTTTCTGCAACTATATATTTTTCAAATGGTTTATGTATTGTTCGGTGTATAGTTCAGGATATTCCTGTAGAACAATAGAACTTCCATACATTTGCCAGTTTTGTATTTTCCAGATTGTTCAACCAATAAATATTATCTGGTGACAGAAAATAGTGATTGTGAATAGCTGGAAATATGCTGGATAGTCAATTTTTTGAACAAGCTGAGTTGTAATTGCTGCCTATATCAAGTATCAAATATATACTGCCAGACTCCTGTGGTATACTTGTTGGTCTAACTCACTATGTACTTGTTTGAGGTATCAAGGTAGTATTAGTTCACGGTAAGTTTTTTGTTAGAGTGTACAATAGTTAGACACTCATTGTTTGTTTGAGGTATGATGGTACTATTAGTTTACGGTAGGTTTTTTGTTAGACTGTATAGTCATTCTTTCTTTCCAATGGTTTTCTATTTGTTTGAGGTATCATGGTCCTATTAGTTAGCAGTACTTCTTTCCAATGGTTTTATGTTAGATTGTCTAATAGTTAGGCAGTCACTCTTTCAAATGATTACGCGAGTCGAGTCATTTTTTTCAGTGGTCTTCTGTTAGATTGTCTAATAGTAGTCACTCTTTCTTCAAATGATTACGCGAGTCGAGTCATTCTTTCCAATAATTTTCTGTTTGATTGTCTAATAGTTAGACAATCTCTTTTTCAGATGATTACGCGAGTCTAGTCATTCTTTCTAATGATTTTCAGTTACATTGTCTAGTAGTTAGTCAGCCACTCTTTCAAATGATTACGCTAGTCGATCTTTCGAATGATTACACGAGTCGATTTGTTATATCTTTTGACAAAAATGAATATCTGTACTTTCAGACGTATGTGTCATTTTGGGGGAAAAAATCAACTTTGGTCCACCAACTGTTTTAGGTTTGCAATTTGTGTATATAGAAAATCGAAGCTTTCTGACACGATTATCCAATGGTATAGTTGGTCTTGTCATATTATTCTCCCATAGACTACAAATTGCTATCAAAGATCTCCAATATTTTACAAGTTGTGGCCTCTATTCGTTGGAGTCCTTTTAAAGATTTAATATCATATATTAATTTTCCAAAACATTTCACAAATTTTCAAATTATACCTTCTAATAAAAGATCAGACATTTAACCATGAATATAAAATTGAATTCCAACGTGGCACAAATTCGTCCACTTCAAAATTTACTGCCGATCCCTTGTTCAAAATTAGTTAATAAACTTTTGTTTTGTTCCTATTTTCTGTATCTACGAAAGCCCCTCAATTTATCTTGTAAACGAATGGAATTTCTGTTTGAAATTTCAATCACTTTCTTTTTTCTTGCAAAGTTGATACAAAATAAAAGTTGATGCATCAAGTTCAAAGCCTAAAGAAGTAGGTTAACGCATTTGTGTTAGTGAACAAAGATAGGAAGCAACCATAGTTTATGAACTAAAATTGTATTTATTCCCTTTCTTTTTACATGTCATCAAGTTCTTGTTTGCATGCCTTCCGTCTCATTCTACACATTTTAGAAGTGTTTTCAGACGTTAAAATAATGCGTGACACAAAATCTTAATATAGTTTAAACATAATCCAAAACACAAAACTGAAGAACAAGATACAAAGCAATGCGACATGGAATTGAATCCAAACATTACAATCTGAAGGAAAAACAAAGGAAAAGAAAATC